CTGGCACTGACTGGGAGAAGGGAGCCCCAGGGCAGAGGGGGGAGCCCCACGGGGTCCTCCCAGCTCCTCCTACGCAGGGAGAGGCAGGCCTGGAGCCCCAGGGTGGGAGGGATGGCCGTGGGGGGCTTAGCCCAGCTCCTCAATCCTCTCAAGCTGGTTAGCAGGCCCAGCTAAGCAGCTTTGCTGCTCCCTGGGGCCCACAGGGGCCCTGGCTGGGCACCCACAGCTGCTCTGAGGGGCCAGGCAGAAGCCAGGGGGTTGAACTGGGGGTTTGCCCGCTGGGCCCTGCACTCTGTGCATTCCTGGGGGCAAACACTGGCACAGGAGCTCGGGATCACTGGGAAACACCCACTGCTGAGCTCCCGCTGCACTCAGACCTTCTCTGGGCCTCTGCAAAGGGCCAGGGGGGCTCTAACTCGTGTCTGCTTCCATTCCAGGCCCAAATCGACCATTACTTGGGACTCGTGAACAAGAATGTCAAAGATGCCATGGCAAAGTGAGTTGGTCTGCTTTGGTTTTACTGATTTCCCTTTGTACTGATGACAGCTCCTGCTGCTCGTGCCACTCCTGTCTGTGGCAACAAATGTGTCGTTGCATGGGCCAGGAGGAAAAAGGGCTTTTTAACTCTGGAATGGTGAGAAAATCACCTCCTTTTTTGCTGATGCTGGTGTTCAGTTGAGCCTTTATTATTTCTAAAAGAAATCTGTGGATTTCCACCCGGTAGCGACACCTGAGCCCCTCAGCAAGTGCAGTTGAGGGGGGAGCAGAGAGTTTAGAGTGGAACAGTTGTGTTGTGATGGCTCTTTTCATGTGTTGCTGTTTTGAAGACTGTGTCTGTACCTGCCTGTTCTCTGTTTGTGACTCAAATGCTCTTCTTTTCCTTCTCCTTCCTCTTGCAGGATCCAAGCAAAGATCCCTGGGTTGAAGCGCAAAACTGAATAAAAAAGCCCGAAGCAACTTATCTATAGGAAGTTCATCTTTTAAGGGGGAAAAATACTCATTGGATTTCCACGGGGAGGGTCAGGGAATAGCAAACCCCTTGACATTGCAGTGCAATTTCACAGATCTTTATTTTTTAGCGACGCAGTGTTTGAGGACAAAAAAAAAAAATAACTGTTTTGACTGCCATGTGTTTCATCATGTTAAGTATTGTAAGCTGCTATGTATGGATCTAAACTAATCATCTTTCCTTCCCCTGTGCAGCTCTGCTCATGCCACGACCGAGAGCTGTACATGCTTCACCCAGGTAGTTGTGCTGCAGCCGGAGGGGAGAGCAGGGGGGGCAGAGAACAAACAAACACTTCCCAGTCTGTGCACTGTGTATGGTCTGTGTAGATTGATGCAGATTTTCTAAAATGAGATGTTTTAGGAGAATATACCAGTTTAGCAAGTTTTGAAAAATCTTGCCTTTTTGGTATGAGTATAGCTGTATTGTGATTTTATTGTTTTATCAATTGCCAATATATATATATATATATGTGTTTCACAAAGCTTAGATCTTTCAGCTGCTCCACAGTGCTTTGTACTTCAGAGTACTGGCTGAGGCCTCGGCGAGCTCCGAGCTCGAGCCCGACAAACTCCACGGTCTCTGTAAACACCGGCATCTGTTGGCAACAACAGCAGAGAACCGAACAAAGAACCTGCACCTAGAGTAACAGAGAATTCCAGCTGCACACTTTGTTGCACAAATGTACAGTAGTCGATCCTGAGCAAGTAATTCTCCGGCTCTCAGACTCTGATAATCTGTGGACCGAGTATCTAATGCTGCAAATGTTGTTTGGAAAATGAAAGGCCTGTCCTGCCGTGCGAGACCCGAGCGGTGCAGGTCGATCCCCTTGCAGTGTGAGCTGTACTGAGCTAAGTCTGTGGAATGCATTGTGAGCTGTACCAACCACCAGGAACGCGCAGCCCCCGCCCCAGCACCCCGAGTGTCAATAAAGCTTCTAGACAGACGTGCCTGGTGTTTGGGTTCTGGGGGGAGCGGCCCCTCCTGCTGCTGCTGCACTCGGGGGATCCAGGGCTGAGCTGGGCACAGCCCCAGCCTGGGCACCTCCAGCTCCCTGTGAGGCTGAACCTTCTTGGCTGCTTGGATTTCTGACACAGTGAGTGTTCGTTTGCTGCTTGAGGGGAATTGCGGAGCAAGTAAGTCCCAGTAGTCTTGGCAGATCAGCTGGTTATGGGGGTTAAGAACTGCACATGGAAAACTGGTATCCAAATTTATTGGAGACACAGATTTTCATTGGATGGCACCTTGGGAAGGTATAAAGTCATGCATTAATGTTTCAGTTGCCAGCAGAGCAGTGTTCCTCGGAACACCTGCCACGGGAAGCCAGAGCTGACACAGCCCGTGTTCTCCTGACACACCTGTTGCTGTAAGGTGCTTCTTACATCACTTGATTAGTTAATTGTCACACAGCTGCAGTTATGTGGGATACAATCACTGTGGGAGAAGGCAGAGATAAGTGATTAGAGCATAGCATAGGAGCTCTCTGATGTCACCAGGTGACAGAACAGGGTTTGAGCCCAGAGGTTTCCCTAAAAACAGAACAGGGACTGCTCTGTGTGCCCAGCTGCTCTGCTGTGCAGTCCTGTAAGGCATGAGTAAATTCAGCTGGAAAAAGGTGATTCTTTGAGGTTGCTGAAGCACTTAGTGTGTTAAACAAACAGGAATCCTCTCCTTTAACGGGCTGTTTTCGCTACTTTTCCATGCAGTGGCAGCAGAGTGGCCTGGCAGGAAGGTTCCAGAGCTCAAAGCCCTTGTCCTGAGCTGGCACTAAAGCACTAGTTAACATTGCTTTGCAAAGACTAAATGTAAGTAAGTCTAAATGTTTTACTTTAGCCTTTATTTATTTTAGATAACAAAGAAAGGTAATTTAAAAATCTGGTGGTGGTTGCACACTAAGAATTTTAAATAGCTTAAATAGCAGTTTTGACACCTTTGCTGTTCCTTTCTGAACAGTTTCTGTGGAAAAAGCTGAACTTTGTTTTTCCCAGTCCCCCATCCCTGGGGGTTTTTGGTTCTGACAGAGGGTTATAACAAAGGGAGAGGGACTTTCCTTTCCTTTGGGAATGTGTGTGGTGCCAGGGCCCCCAGGGCAGCTCTGGCTCAGTTCAGCTGCCCCAGAGCCGGGCTGGGCTCCAGAGCAGGAGCAGCAGGATGGGCAGAGGAGCAGGCAGGGCCAGGGCAGGGACCCCTCCAGAAAGGGAACCGGGATCCTTGGGGGCTTTCCCAGGGTTCTGGCTGGCCCTGCCTGTGGAAGGAGTTCCCTGCAAAGCACTTTGCCCAGGAAGGGGAGCACAGGGGCAAAGGAGCCTCAGTGTCTGCTCAGGGGAGTGTATGGGGTGTGCAAAGCCCGTGTCCCCCTGGGACACTGCCCAGGAGGGGCAGTGCCATCAGTCCGTGCCTCTGGCAGCACAGGATGCTGTTGGAATTCCCGGGGGAGCCATTGGAGCCCAGGGCTGGTGTCAGCACAGCCCTCCTGGGCTCAGTGGTAGCACCGTGTGTGGAAAGCGGGGGGTGGAGACCAGGCTGGAGCCCAAACTGCTGGGAGAGCATTCCAAGGCACTTGCTGGATAGAAATGGAGCCAGGGGTGTGTATTGAACAGCAGATGGAGTTCAGGACGGGCCCCTTTGCCCCCCCAGCCCCAGGAGCTGCAGTGCCCCCTCTCCTGCCTCAAAGGTGGGAAGGGAAGGGCCCGGGATTGCTCCGGGTGCTGTCCCTTTGCAGCCGGGCTGGAACAACACGGCCTGGGCCCAGGGCAGCTCCGGGTGGGGACTGTTCACCCTTTGGCCTCCCAGGGCACCAGAAGATTCCCTGCAAACCTCCTTCCCGGGATGGGGGCTGTCCCAAGCCAGCTCAGGCAGGGGCTGCGAGTGCAGGTGCCCCTCAGGACCGTCCCAGGGCATTCCAGGTGTCCCAGTCCCCGGTGGGGCAGCGACAGCAGCAGGAACGGGCTCCTCACAGGCACCGCCACACGAACACACTGCGGGAGAGAGCGGGAATGAGCTCGGGCACAGCAGGGACACGGCACACAGCGGGGAAAGGGGGGTGAAATAAAGACAATTGGGGGGGTGTTAAATAAAGGCAATTGGGGTGTGTGTGTGAAATAAAGACAACTTGGGGGGCTGTAAAATAAAGACAATTTTCGAGGGTGTGAAATAAGGCCAATTTGGGGGTTGGGTGGGACATACTCGGTGCCCCCCTGGGGCTCCTCCCCAAGTGCCGGCACTGGATCCTTCCCCGCAGCGATGGAACCTCTGTGGAGGTGGGTGGGGGTGTGGGATGGGGGGTGTGGGTGATGTGGGACGTGTCTGCGTGGGATGTCCGTGTGTGGGGTGTGTCTGCGGGTGACATGGGGTGTGTGGTGTGGGGGGGGATATGTGTGTGTGATGAGTGTGGGGGGTGTGTGTGTGGGGATGTGGGTGTGTGATGTGGGGGTGTGATGTGTAACGTGTGTGTGGGATGTGAGAGCTGTGTGTGTGACGGGGGGGGTATGTGGAATG